CCGGGAGGCAAACGGCGCCGGCAGCGAGGCGTGCGAAACCCGGTCGGGGCAGCCGGCGATGGGGCCGGGGGTTTGTGCGTCCCTCCCGGGGAAGCCTTAGGCTCCCGGGGCCGAGGTTGCCCCTGTGCCCTGCCACACACCCAGCCCCGTGGGGGATCCCGTCCTCCGTCTCCATCATCCCAGGCCAGCCGGCAGGGCTTACGGGGAAGGGGAAAGAGGGATCCTGGGTGCGGAGGTGGAAGGTGTGCTACGAGGTAGCTGCCAAAATCTAGGCAGAGCCTAGGCGTCTCTGCAGGACGGAGGACGTCGCCCGCCCAGCCAGGGAACCATCAAACAGATTTTGGCAGTGGCCGTTCCAGCCAGTCCAGGTCAAGATGCGAGAGAAGGTTAAATTAATAAACAACTCGACCTGTTCTTGCACGGTGAACTGATTTATGAACCATTTCTTCTTTATGGGTGTTGGGTTAAAGCCAGACATTTTTGACTATAACTCTGTAATGTGTATCAGCTGTAATAGGAGAATAACCCGGCTTATCCCTGGAAAACATGGGCGCTGCCTACACAGGCAGGCAAAGCTTAACTTCAGGCGCTGGCCGCCAGCAGCACGGCAGCATGCAAAACCCCAGGGGCAGGGGTCTTTTCTCACGCTCAGCACTACGTGATGCCTCCCCATGATAAACATTTGTTAGGAAGACACAGTTCTTCCTTTCTTCTCCTTTTCAAAGCCGGCAACAGTATGGCATAAATCTCCCAAGCACGTCTGAACCCTTGCCACGCTCATCCCAGGCTCTGCCACCACCGCCAGCCTGGCCCAGCCCCTCCTTTGCTTCCTAAAGGCAAATAAGACAGATGAAAGGGGACTCAGTGTTCGCCTTTTCATTTACACAAGGTGCTTCAGTGGAAAGCTGGTGGGCTGCAGACAGCGCACAGTGATTTAGTAAATCCATTTTTAATCAAGCCATCTTTAATAAAACCATCTTGGGTCTTTATGTGGGCACCGAGGCAGCAATACAAGCACTCATTATTGTATTTCTTTTATACTTCAGTTAAAAGTTACCTTCTTTCTATGCTGCATAATCATCAACCAGAGCAGCCAGCCAGCCCGGCCTTTCCTCACGCCTTGGGTCTGGCAGCGCTTCTAATCCCACAGCCCAGGCACGCGCGATGCCATTCCCAGGCTGCCCAGCCAGGGGCGAAACACTTCAATAACCCCACCGGTGCAGCCCCAGCAGCATGGCCTCAGCATCGCCAGGGTCCTTGGCTGGGGACACAGCCACCGGTACGGAGCTCAGAGCTCGATGGACCTCCACAGGACAGGGGCAGCCACGGCTGGTGGCATGAACTGAAACAGAGACCCTCAGGGACAGGCAGGTGCGGTGGGAAAAGGAGGCTCAGGCTTGCTCCACCACCCGCAACCCTCCGTGCATCCTGGGGGCAGTGAGGTTTGAGGGTAACCTGAAGAGCAAAGACCTGTGCATTTTGATTGGGATGTTTTTCCCACACATTGCCCTTTTTTCCCACACCATTCCCCATTTCCAGACTGAAGTGCTCCAGGGACAGTCACTGCAGATATTTTCTGCCACCTTTGTGGGAGCTGCTGAAGAAATGCCCAAATTGCCCTCATTCTTGCAACAGATACATTTCTGGGTGCTTCGTAATCACTAAGGAATTATTTCCGTCCGCTGATGCCAGCAGCACAGCGAGGACTGCTTTGAGCAGAGCAATGCTGTAGGAGATACGGACTGGGTGATCTGAGTGACAGAGACATCAGAGTCCCTGCTAGAGTATTAATTGCCTGTTTCTAACTGCAGTGTTTCTCACCCCACTCCTATTGCTCCGCTGTGCCTACCTGAGCAAGGTAGGCTTCTTACTGGTTTTGCACAACAACCTGCTTCTCCTTCAAGACATTTATGTGTGGATTAATTGCACGGAGTGAAAAGGGCCACCGAGGAAGAGATGCTGTCACAGGAGCTGTACAGAGGCAGCTCAGCACCTCTCTGTGCGTGCCAAGAGCGCAGGCAGCCAAGGAGAACACGGAGGAGAGGGGCATGCTGCTGCAAAGCCCAATAAACCTGTTGATTTGCAGCCCGCTCCCGTACGATGCAGCAGCTACTACGGCATGCAAAATGAACCCGGTTTTCGCTGCTGGGCCTTGTTTTTACAACTCAGCTCTTTGACAGCAGTGCTCGGGCTGGAGTGCAATGCTGTCCTGGGAGAGCAAGCACCCGCTGTGCATCACTGAACCTCTCGCCGCTCCTTTGAAATGCGTTAACTGAGTGCCTGGTGCTGCTGGCTCTTTGGAGGGTGGCCACGGCTTTGGGGACTTCTCGCAAAATCATTGCACAGATGAAGTAAAATCTGCTGTCCTTCTACTGCACGGTAATCATTGACTTGTGTCAAAAGGGCTGGCTTCCCTCCCAACTTCTGCCTTGGAGCCAAACCACTGCTCCAGTTTTTCATGCAAATCCTGAGAATTATTTAGCAGCAGCAGCTCTTTTTCAAAAGCCAACGACACCAGTGCATTTTTGCCTAAAGGAAACATTGTTCTTTCTGGACAACTTTTCCTCCATTTTCCTCTAAGGCAGCACCGGGAGATCTCAGGACTGTGTCTCTAAAATATTCATGTGACAGCTATTCATTATTCATGTAGGCTCACAATGCTCGATTCAGCGGAACTGCCAGCCTCAGCCTGACAAGCAGAGCCATTAAGAACCCCCCCACAAAGCAACCCTGCAAGAACACCAAGACAATTTTGCTCTGTGCACGACTGCAGCTGCTTGAACCCCCTTCTTTCCAGCTGTACCTAGAAGCATGCTGGCATGGTAGGATAAGGGGGAGCCTGCTCCAAAAGCTCCCCCATCTTTTGGTGAAGGTCTCGGTCCCCTCCAGGAAGAGCAGCACGCCGGGGAGGCTCTGAAGCAGGGCTGCTTGGCTGAGGCTGAGCCCTGTGAAGGCACCGACCCCGCCGGGGCCCCTGGGCGAGTTTTTTAGACTCTGCTTCTTCTACCAGCCCTCTGAAGATAAAATCGCCTTCCCACCTGGCAGCGTGGAGGAAGGTTAATTAGAGAGAGCTGCCTGCATCTTTGAAGGCGCAAAGTGCCGGGTGGGAAGCTGGCAGGGGATTTCTCCAGCTCCCAGTGTGCCAGCTCTGCCTGGGCAGGCTCGTCCCTGCTGCCCGCTGCTGCCTGCACCAGCTCCCCCTCCCCATGGGCAGGGATGGCCCCACGGTGGCAGCCCCCAGGATGGGGCATTGAGCAGAGGATGGCAGCACCACCTCTGTACCCCTTGGCTGGCAGCATTGTGGGAGGACATCGATTCCCCCCCTCCCCTGAGGGTGCAGTGACCCCCAAGGGAGGCTCTGTGCCCCTGGCCACCGGCTGCCCTGCTAATTATAGCTGCAGGCTGAGGAAGCACCGGGGCCGCCTGTGCAGGAGGCGGGGTGTGCCGCCCTCGGCGACTGAAAAACAACGGTGGCGGAGGTGTGCCACCATCCCCCCAGCCCCGCCGAGCAGCACAGCCCCATCCCCAGGGCTGTCCCTGGGCTGCGACACCCTGAGCTGCACGGGCATTGCCCTCGGTGCACCCAGGGGTATCCAGAGCTGTTGCCACGTGGACCCCCCCGTGGTCCTCACACCACCCCTGGCATCGCCCATGCCCCCAGCACTGACCCCTGAGGCCGTTGGCAGGATGGGGTGCTGCTCCCCTTCGGAGAGGCAGGAGAGTAGCAGGGGTGACATGAGGCATCCATTAAGGACTGTTAAGGACCCTTCTCCCTGAGCAGGAGGTGCTGTCCCCTGCCCTGCCGACTTTTCTCAGGCTGCCCCAGCTCTTGGCTGCAGCCACTGCTGCTGGGACCTGGACGATGGCCAGTGGGGCTGGGGGCCATGGCACCTCGCCTGCCCCCATCGATGGCCCGCGGGGCCCGGGTGCCACTCAGCCTTTCCATTTTGTGAAAAATCCTGACAGTTCAGCGTTTCCTCTGTCCCGGTTCAGAACAAAGAGTCGAAACTTCAACCTTTAGCATAGTGACAGAGACTCTGAAATACTTTGTTTTGGAAAATACTGAAATGCCGGTTTGAAATGTTTCGCTTTGACTGTGTCACTTCAGCTGCTGCAGCACGATGAGCTCTGTTGCTATCTGAGAGGAGAAAGCCTGGGATGTTTTCATACACTGAAAAAATCAATACATTCCTATGAATTCTTTTGGTCTTGTCATACTAACTTTTCCCAGTGCCTTTTTCCCACCGCTCTCCCCAACCAGAGACCCACATTGGCTCCAGTTCCAGCTGCTGGGCACAGAATCCATCCCTGAAGCAGGGCTGCTCCCTGCAGGGTTTGACACGCTCCCATCGGGCAGGCCCCAGCATCTCCCCGTGCCACGGCAGG